TGAGTCATGGAGGTTTCAATCAGTAGTACAAGATTTTGTAGATACGGATATGATAGGTGATCTCAACCACAAAAAGTCTAACTTAGGTGCGTTGTTCACTTTTGTCGGGGGAGTAATGCCTTAGCAGTCCAGGTTGAAAAATGCGTTGTTTTGTCTACAACAGAGACAAAATATATTACAGTTATAAAAACAGATAAATAGATGGTTTGATTGAGAAGATTTCTTTAGGAGTTAGGCTTGCAACAGAATGAGAATTAAGTTTTTATTAGCAGTCAAAGTGCTCTTGATTTGAGTAAAAATTCTACATTCCACTCTAAAACAAAGTACATCAATATAAGGTATCATTTGCTTAAAAAAGCTATTGAGAAGGAAAAGCTGAAACTACAGAAGATTCACATTAACAAGAATTCAACAAATTTTTAAACAAAGATTGTTCCCAAAGAGAATATAGAGTTGTGTCAACAATTGGCCAGTATGAACCCCCAGTGAAGACATAGATTAGCATAACTTTACATTGGGCTGGATGGGGAAATTGCTATGGGTCCAATCCAAGTCGGGCTCACATGCATTAGGGTATTTGAGGTGTCTATTTGTAATAAGAACAAACTTGAGGGACCCAAGGAAAATTATCCCTTATTAAACGTGAATTGGTTCGCAAAGAAACCCTATATAGCAAACGTAAAAAACGGAATGCACAAATTGTTTATGCACACATATTTAGGAGAGAGAAAGGAAAAGAGAGAAAGATAAAAAAGTATTTTTGAATTGCTCAGTTTTCTGATTGCATTGATTCAAATTTCATCTTCTTGACAATGATGACGCTGTCAAGAATGCAGTGTTAGCTTCTCTCTGGGTGTAGGGGTAATATTATGTTTTCTCTTGTAATTTAAACATCAATTTTGGATATAGTTTTGAGGACTTGCACTATTGCTTATTACCCCATAAACGTAGCCACGATTTACCAAACCACGTTAAATCTCGGTGTTTACTTGCATGTGATATTTTCGTTGGTACAGTTATTTTTTTATATGTTTAATTCCATAGATTAAACTCCATAAAATTCCTAACAATTTTTAGCCCAAGCACTTTAACTAAATAAATTTTCAAAATTTTTAGTTGACTTCCAACCGACCAAACAGGAATCCTAGTGGAGCTATTGACTAAGCCAAGTGGAAAATATCATTTCTCCCAATCCAGGGGTCCTTTACCCAGGATAGCCCGACTAGATGGAGTCAACTAGTCTACCTAGACCTACTCATGACACTCACAATCTCAAAATATTATCTTTCTTGATCAACCATTTGCACTATTGGTAAAATCCTAACTTTATGTTAGAGATTTTATTTTGTTTCCTTAGAATGAAATGTTAGGATCTTATGAGATATGTTTTTTTATCTTATTTTCTTAAGAGCCATCTTTTGTTTTCTTTAAATAAAGGTGTAAGCCTCTATGAAAAAGCATAAACTAATGAGTAGAAATTTGAGATACGAAAGTTCTCTATAGCATGTGAATTGCTAAGTTTTAACATGTGAGGTGCCGGGGTAAGGCTCTTAGGTGTACAACCAAGTTATCTATTTGAAAACTCTTCCCTTTGTTTCTATTCCTTAGATCAAATCCCACTTACAATCTCAATCTTCAAATCCACAAACCCTAAAGACCCTAATCCTCAAAAGATTCCCCCTAAAGAAAAGGGCAAAAAATCCCCTAGAAAGTAATTGTACATGGCTAAACAATTACCACTCATTTGCTAGTAACTTGGTTACGGTTATTTGCCTTCATTTCAACATCCCAGTCCTCAGAGCAAGTGCAGCAAGCTCCCAGTTGGGAGTCCTAGTCAGCATGCTCTCAAGAGCTCTCAAGCTTTTCAAAATAAAAAATTAACAAATCATACCTTGGGAGGCACTCCTTCTTTTATGGAGCTCCAACAAGCTCCTAGTTAGGAGCTCCAACAATATCAAAAAAACCCCTCTTCTATTTTAATATTTCACCCATTACTTTTAATCATATTTAAACCTCTTGTATTTTATTTCTAACCGTTGCACACGGTCTTCGAGGCAACCCACGGTCTTTGAGGGAGCGCACACGGTCTTCGAGGTAACCCGCGGCTTTTGAGGGAACGCACACGGTCTTCGAGGCAACCCACGGTCTTCGAGGGAGCGCACACTGTCTTCGAGGTAACCCGCGGCTTTTGAGGGAACGCACACGGTCTTCGATGTAACCTGCGGTCTTCGATGTTGGGCACGAAGTTCGAGGTATCGCAGACTTTGACCGTCATCCGACTGATGCCTATAAAATTCGACGGCTTCTCTCCTCAACCCATCATCTCCCAGAATAAAATGTCTAGCTCATCTAGCTCTAGCGATGATGAAATGATGAAGAAGTTCTTTCTTATGGGAGCTGTTGTCGTTGAGGAAGAAGAACAAGAGAAATGTTCAACTTCAGTTCAACACAAACGACGTATCGTGCTCCATCGAAACCGACTGGAAGGCCACAATCGGTTATTCCAAGATTATTTTGCTGACGCACCAACCTATCCTCTTTATTATTTTCGTCAAAGGTTCAGAATGAGGCGTTCGTTATTCCTTCGAATCCACGACGCAGTCGTCGAACATGACAAGTACTTCGTCCAAAAGAGGAATGGTGCTGGACAGTTAGGACTATCTAGTCTTCAAAAGATTACTACAGCTATGCGGATGCTCGCATATGGAGCATCCGCTGACTCCGTTGACGACTACGTTCGGATCGGTAAAAGTACGTCGCTTGAGAGCGTGAAGAGGTTTGTTCGATCGATTATCAACATCTTTGGAGAGGAATACCTTCGTGCACTGACTAATGAAGATGTTGCACGCCTGCTCGAGGAAGGCTCACAACGAGGTTTTCCTGGTATGCTTGGGAGCGTCGACTGCATGCACTGGACATGGAAGAACTGTCCAACTGCCTGGCAAGGTATGTATACTGGACATTTTCATGAACCTACAATTATTTTGGAGGCCGTAGCTAGCAAAGATCTTTGGATATGGCATGCCTTCTTTGGACTGCCAGGGTCTCACAATGACCTTAATGTTCTACATCGTTCACCGGTTTTCGCACAACTTGCGGAGGGAAGAGCTTCACCGTGCAACTATACTGTCAATGGCCACGAGTATAATATGGGATACTATCTCGCCGACGGGATTTACCCAGAGTGGTCCACATTAGTGAAGACTATTCCAGCACCTCGAGGAAACAAGCATAAGTACTTTGCTCAACAACAAGAAAGCGCAAGAAAAGATGTTGAGCGAGCTTTTGGCGTGTTGCAAGCTCGATTTGCGATTGTTCGTGGACCAGGACGTTTCTGGCAACCTTGTGTGCTGAAAGATATCATGACAGCTTGTATCATAATGCATAACAAGATCGTTGAAGATGAACGTGATTGTCAATTGGACAACAACTTTGACTTTACTAATTCGGTACCAGTTGTTGAACCTTCTCATGTGCAGACGGTGCCTCTAACTGAGTTCATCCAAAATCATCATCGGATCAGGAACACGCAAACACACAAATCACTAAAAAATGATTTGATCGAGCATCTGTGGCAGCTTAAGGGATCCATCGCCGAGGATTAAGTTTCTTTATGTCTAATGTAATTTCAGAAAAGGAGTTCAAGTTGTTGTACTACGCCAATTTCATTTTCAATAAAGTAGTTGTTTTCATTCAATGCCAAAATTTTCAACTTCAAGTACAATCATAAATCTAATATAAGATAATATTTGATAATTAGGAAGAACTAATGAGGATGCGATGCGAGTACAATATATGATAATTAGAAAGAACCCTTGGACATCCACCTCTCCAATATCTCTGCCTGACGCATTTCAAAGTATTGTCATTGAACTGAATTGAGTGTTGAGAGATCCATCTTCATGATATCGTCATCTTGTTTCTTCTGTTTTAGCTCCATTTTTTCTTTGTTGGTTTGCTTCATCCACGCGAAAGCCTCTCCCATAATGGACTTAGCGGACTCAGATTTGTCCACATTTTGTTTCCTCTTGAGTTTTGCCGCTTTCCTCCCTTCAGGCCTTGCTATAACATCATCCGAGTCAATGTTCAACTCGATGGGGGTCGCTGGCATGGAATTGTTCGGTGAGGAATCAGAGTTCGTGGTTCTTCTCGGCTGTGATCGAATCTTATTGTAATTTTCCATTTGTTGGCTCCACTTTTGGTGATGACGCAACTCAACCCAGCAATGGTCAAACACGAATGGCTTACCATAAAGGGATTGGTATAATTCTTTTACTTCTGCAGTCTACACAAGAGTTAATTTTAGAATAATCAAACATAATTAAACATATTGAATCTGAGCAAAAATAATCAAACATAATTAAATATTTACCTGGTCAATAATTCCCGTACCAGATCTTTGTCTTCCTTCAATCTGAGCAACGCACCCGCAGAACTTGTTGACAGATAGTTGAATCGTTGACCAACGGTGCATCATTTGGTTTGGTGTGCGATTCGTTGGATCGGTGGAGTATTGGATAAAGTAGTCGTTAGCTCTGTGCCAGAACTTATCTTTGTGTTGCCCTGTGCCTTGGATGGCGTCTTGGCTCGTGTTCAGCCAAGCAGACACAAGAAGCTTATCCTCGTGGACAGTCCAATTTTCGGACCGCGTGTAAGCCTTCTTCTTCTTTGTTGTCGGATCAGGAACTTGGGATGACACTTGTCGTGTTGCGGATTGTGATAACTCGATGGGATGACCTTCTTCTACGACTTCTGTATAGAACGGCGAGTATAAGGTCGATCCTTCACCGGTAAGGAGTGACGAATAGTAGTTGTTTTGGGAGGGATCCATGAGATTTGTAATTTGATAGGAAATTATATAGTTTTTTTTATGAAAGAGTTGTGTGGATTGTGAATTGTGAATTGTGAATTGTGAATTGTGAATTGTGAATTTATAGAGGTTTTTTACTGTTTACTGTACAACGGTAAAATTTTCCCACAACAGCCATTTTTTAACGACTCTTTCAACTCAACGGTAAAATATCAACTATCAATAGCTTCTCAAACATTATACATAATTATTTTATAACGGATATCAACAGTTCTCAAACAAACACCCCACCCGATAATAAAATCCCCAAATTAAACCCTCAGATCTCAAATCTCAAACCCAAATCTCACTTCCGCAGTTCCTCATCTTCGGCGACGACGACCGCGACCCCATCTTCGGCGGCGACGAGCAAGTTTCGGCGACGACGACCGCACACCCTTCGGCGACGACGTCATCACACCCTTCGATGACGACCTGCATCCTGCTCTTTGCCGCCAAACCCTCGACATCATCGCTGGCAACGGCGTCGGAGGCCTCTTCGCTGCCAAACCCTCGACATCATCGTTGCCGCCAAACCCTCGACATCATCGCTGGTAAGGGTTTTTGTTAAAGAGGGTTTTTTGTAAAATTCTGCTGTAGTTGGGAGCTCCCAAGCGCTCCACAAATTTGTGGAGCGCTTGGGAGTTCGGAAGCTCCCCAACGCCAGCTCAGCCTTAGGAGAGGGGCTTGGGAGGCGTTGGGAGTTTGCTGGAGGGAGGGATGCCAAGCTCCACGGCCACGTCAGCCTTGATAGGCTCCTTCAGAGGTTGCTGCCCTTGCTCTCATACCTCTTTGTCAACTAGATTCAATCATGCCCGAGCTTCGATGAGGCTCAATCAGCTCTCATGGTTCGATCGTGTATCACCGCCACCAGATCTCTTCTGTTCAGCCCTTAATAAGTTGTGATCTCCCTCGACCAAGGCGTTACCATACAACTCTGAAAAGTTATTGATGACTTCAGAATCTACCCACTTCATATTTTAGATCTCATCCAGATTTGAGTACTCACCAAAATTCACAATATCAAGAACACCGTACTTTCTAATTGAATCCGAATTGACGTTAAGCTTTCTATTTTTAAATCTTAAACCTTGCCCCAATCCGCATCACAAGTAAGACCTTTCTACCCATCAGAATGGTAAGTACGTAGAGACCCTACGTCACACAGACTCGAGACGCTAGACGCTCACACAAACCTTGGACCAGACTCACATAATCCCAAAAGAAACTCAGAATTAAAACCAAGCGATGGATTCTACTGACTTTCTAGCCAGAAATTTCAATGGCTTTCACCTCGGGCTTCTTGACTTCCTCCTTCGGCACGGTCACCGTGAGCACGCCGTTCTCCATTGTCGCCTTCACCTGATCCATCTTCGCGTTCTCTGGCAGCCTGAACCTCCTCAAGAACTTGCCGCTGCTCCTCTCGACCCTGTGCCACCTGTCATTCTTCTCCTCTTGCTCCTTGCTCCGCTCTCCGCTGATCTGCAGAACCCTTCCTTCCTCGACCTCAACCTTCACCTCTTCCTTCTTCATCCCCGGGAGGTCGGCCTTGAAGACGTGGGCCTCGGGCGTCTCTTTCCAGTCGATGCGGGTGCTGGCGGATCGGCTAGCGAGCGAGAAGAGTCGAAAGGCCAGCCCTGAAAAGGGTCCCAGACGTCGAGGGAGAAGGGGTCGAAGACGTTGCTCCTCTGACCGGAGATTCGAGGAATCAGAGCCATTTCTGTAGAAGAGAAACCGTCAAAAGCTAGAGAGCTGACGACACGAGCTTTTATTTCGCCTTTGGGAGATAGACCGCAACTTTCTTTCGCGGCTCGACGAAGAAACAAAAGAGGGGTTCCCTTTATATAGTTTTGAGGTGGAAGGATCTCGAAATACGCAATACTGGAAGGGACCTGAATGTTCGAGAGATAATCGAGGACCCTCCGGGCACCACCGAGCCCATAACCATCATGGTCCTTGCTCACAAAACAAGCTGGTTAGCAGGCCATTTAAGTGGGCAATGAATTGCAACCGGCCCGCTCCAAATGGAAAGTAGTAAAATTAAACCAAATTTCTATGGGGAAAAAAATAAACAATGATTACGATTTATAAGGGCGTTGTAGTTAAGAAATGTGGCAATAATAAGTAGAACAATTAAATTCCATTTTAGGGTATTCTATTTTATAAAAATATAATATATCATTGAAAGTAAGTGTGAAAGTATATATGAAGTTTTGTGCCTACTTTTTGAAAATGTCACTTGTGGGAACTTATTGTCTTGTTTATCATTTTCTTACTGCTATTATATTAAATAAATTTGTAATTTTCAGTTCAAACGTCATTTGTGAGTGAAGAACTATCTACATTCTTGAAAAAGTCACTTGTGTACACTAACACATTGAACAAATTCTACAGCTAATTAGTTTCAAATTTGACAAATTTCTACATTAAATTGATGATGTGTTTTGGGAAAATTTGAATTCCTAGTCATCATTTGATATGTAGATATCAGCTTTGAGACTCTTATAACTTTCTTACACACACACACACGCCCCCAATGACGTTCTTCATATTTAGGCGCTATTGGTATTTTGTTGGGAGATTTTCCCAAAACACATATATAAACATATGTACGTATATTTGTCTTTTACTTGACCAATGATGCTCTTCATATTTAGGCGCTATTGGTATTTTGTTAGGAGATTTTCATGTTTGATTAGATACTTTAATTTTTTTAATTATGTTTTTTGAATGAATACAATTGTTGATTGTATCATGACATGTATAAGATGGTATATATATATGCCTGTTTTTAAGACAATATCATGCCCAAATTTTGTTTTTTTTTTTCATTTTTTGCCAAACAGATGCATAATAGTTGCTGACTGGTCTTAATAGTCACAGTCACCCTCAATATGAACATTATTCTGAACTATCTTAAGTTAATCAAATGTTTGTCTACGTGAAAACAAACGTTAGAGTAGAAGAAAAATAGCCCTAGCACAACATAGTTCGAGGACTATAGTCTTGCAATATCCCCCTATATAGGGAATGAAATACAAACATAAGTAGTCTCACTAATCTCCACAATTTGAAAGAAGTCCCCAAAATCTCATGAGTGTTTTGAAATTTCTCCATTTGGCTAGCGCCAGGTTGAAAATTTTGAGGAGCTAATCTTAAATTACTTAATTTTAAAAATATGAAAATTCGGAGACGAATTTTGAAATGGGAAAATTTGCAAAATAGTCTGTTTTTACTAATTATTTAGCAAAATAGACCGTTTTGCTAAATAATTAGCAAAATAGACATCTTTTTGGCCAACAGGCCAAAAAGAGATCTATTTTGCAAAACAGCTTAGAAAACATATATACGGGACTAGTAGTCCCGTATGTTTTAATCATGGATTACTGAACTCAGAAAATTTCACAAAACATTGAGATGAACTCAGAAAACATACGGGACTACTAGTCCCGTATGTTTTCTGAGTCACTAATCCGTGATTAAGTTGGTTCTAAACATACGGGACTAGTAGTCCCGTATGTTTTCTGAGTCTTGTTTTTCAAAATCGACCTCTTTTTTTCAAAAGAGGTCTATTTTGCTAATTATTTAGCAAAACGGTCTATTTTGCTAAATAATTAGCAAAAACAGACTATTTTGCAAATTTTCCCAAATAGACACTGTTTGGTTCAACTCAGGACAAGGACTAGGATTTGGAGTCCTGGGACACGAGTATAATTCCATGTTTGGGGGACTGTGGGACTTGGATGAGATTAGGACTAGGAATTTGTTTCGATTTCAGATTGCTGAGGATGAGCTTTACAATGATCTGTAGCATGCTTGTGCTGGACCTCTAGTGACGGTTCGGAGAGTCGGAGAGCTCGTATATTACTTTCCCCAAGGACATATAGAGTAGGTAATAGCTATGATCTCTGATTTTGCCTATGAAAGTTGTGAATTTTAGGAGTTTTTTGGTTAATTTTGGACTTTATAAGGTTTCACCCATGTTTCCCTTTGATTTCCTGTGTTTTTGTTCGGGAGTTTTTGTTCAATTGAGGGTTACTGTGGTTGATATTAGCACTAGATTCGAATTATTGGCTCTAGTAGTTGATTCTCTTTATTTTGATGAAATTTCTATAATTTCTGCTAATTTCCCCCAACTATCAAAATTTCCATGAAATTTGGTGAAAACTGGCGAGCATCTGGTGCTTAAAGTTATTTTGAATTTAGGGTTTCTCTTCAACATTATGAGATTTAGGCTTTATTTGTTGTTTGAATTCCAAAGCTGATTAGGGTTTCTTTTAATTAGAGTCTTCTGATTAGGGTTTCTAAGTTAGGGTTTCATCTATTGTTTGAATTTTGTCTGATAACTGAGTTGTTTGTTTTTTTATAATTTCTCAACAATCAGATACATATGTGCTTGAAATTTTTGTTATTACATAGTTTTCAACAGAAATTTGTGATAATTTGCTAACTTAACAAGCAACATTACATGCTTGAATTTTTTTAATGATATGATACATGTGATTGACCTTTATGTGCTGTGGACAATGTTTTGCTGTATATTTATATCTAGGTAAAATTTTTATGTGCATGTAGTTGTATTTTAGATGCCATGTCATGAATTGAAATGTTGAAGTTACGTTGCTGTGTTGTAGAGCAACATAAACTAAATTCTATAATTAATATCACACACAGTCTCAAAATTGATAATGGTTAATTTAAGATGATATCAGATTACGATCCATCTTAATCTTGTAACATTGATCATTAGGTATTTTATATGATATTAAATTAAGGATTAATTGGTTATATATAGCTCAGGGCCTCAACCTTGTTATATAGTTATGCTTAGGTGCACCCATTGTCACCCATTTAGACATATATAACGAGAGAGTAACATTACAGCATGCCAAAAAATAGATTAGTGATAAGTTTCTAGTGTCTGTATCTTTCCTCCTAAGTATTGATTTTTTTTTCAAGTTAATTTTTATTATTCAGAGAATTTGATATTTAGTTTTACATTGTGGCTTTAAATGTGATGGTGGCAAATGGGGTTTGATTGGATTTTCCTCTTTATTGATGTACATTGTCATTGTTGGTATGCAATGTGCTTGATGGTGAGCTGATCAGTTTCATTAGATTCACAGCTCATATGGCTTTTGTATTGAGCACTGAAAATAATTGATTTCAAGAGGATGAGAGTCTCGGAACACTTGCATGTATGGGGCTTTTGTTTCTAGCTTTTCTTTCTTTTTCTATTATTTTTGTGATAAATGACAGATCTTTTTTTGTTGAAGCTATTCTAACTAGATTATTCTGTGGTATAATTTCTTCCAAAAAATGTTATTTCCCACATCCTTATTTTATAAGCTGTAGCCATAATAAAAAAGGATAAAGATACACATAGATGTCTTAGCCACATGCATCCTAGTTGTTTATTCGTCTAAAAGAATGTCCACTCTCTAGCAATTCTCGTAGGATAAAGATATTGGCTTTGGTAGAAGACCTCCAACCTCAGAGGAGAATTGTATAATGATTTGATGAATGGCATATAGCAAATCCAGAATCTGTGATCAATTCAGTTCTATGTAATAGTGATGTGCTTGTTAGGTTTACTTTAGCTTTGTCACATGTATAACTATCATGAGTTCAATGTTTATGAACTTTGACATTCTGATTCATGTACATGGGTCTATCATAGTTAAACTTGTCTCCCTTCCGTGTCGTTGTTGTTATAGATAGACTTGCTTTCATCCTAAGTTCAAGTTATATCAGAAATTTTAGTTTGTCTGTACATAATAGGCATTGGACATTCGAAACTAGCTATTTCCAAAAGGTGTAGTTAATTTATCTCATTAAAAAAAAGTAGGCAAAGTCAATTTTTTATATGTTGTAGGATCCCGGCAATTTTCTAAACTATAAGCGCAAAGACATGAAATTTTGTCTTGGAAGTAGTCGGCGTGTTAGAGAAAAAGAATATGTAAGTGGCTAAATGTAATTTTTGTTGCATTTTACTTGAGATTTAATTTTTCCTGTAATCACTTGTTTACTAATCAGTAACCCTTTCTTTACAGGTCTATAAAAGCTCTTTCCTCGAAGGCCGAGAGAGTAAGAAAGTATATAGCAGAAAGTGGAATACAAGTAAATGATGTATTTGTGCACACCATCTTTGTGAATGTTGGGCTAGTTGAATTTGTTGGATATTAAGCATGTAAAATGTTTTCTTCTAGTTATGTTTTGTAAATAATTGAAGGAGTGTTGTTAAGTTTTTGGTGTTATTACATTTGTGAAATATTTGGTTATAGTAATGTAATATTTTTTTGCTTCTATTTGTGTTCGTTGAAAAATAGACAAGTAATTGCTCCCTGATGGTTACTCTATAATCATACTTAATATTTGATTATAGGTCTTCTTGTTATATTTTTAGCATAATTGATTTTGTTGATTGTTTTCTTGTTTATAATTCAATTATATAAAAAAATTATTCTCTAAATTAAAAAAATAAGGGTGTAAAGTGAAAAAATAATAAAGGGTAGAATTTGTATTCCCAATAGTATGAGCCAAACGTGAGATTGAGATTTTGGACATCAAACATGTGACCAAACATGGGACTAGGACTTCTAATCCTAGTCTCATCTTATCTCAATCCCAACCTAAGTTCTAGTCCTAGTCCCCCCTTTAGAGATTCAAGGAACTAATTCCAAAATTTGAAGATCCGGGGGACGAGTGTAAAATAAGTAAGATTTGGGAGACAAAAAAAAATCCCTTTTGGGATGATGATAATAATAATAATGGGTTTTTCTTTTTTAACCCAAAGCTTTACCTCCACTTATTTAAAAACTCACCCACTTTTCTAAACATTAATACACCCATTATATCTCATCCCACTTATTTTTAAACCCAACATGTACAGTACACCAATTATTTATATTGTATTTACCCTAATAAATTAAAAATTCCTAAACTATCATTCATCTCCAAAATATAACTAATCTCAGGCCAGAGCTTTCTTCCTCCTTCCTCTTCTCCTTCAACCACCACCACCAACCTCCTCCTCTCCCCTCCCTTCACTTTCCCTCCTCCCTCAAACCCATCAACCTCTGCCTCTGCCGCCCCTATCTCCCGTCATCATCACGTCACCCACCACCGTCGACCTCGAATCAAATGAACATACCACCAACGGTTTCGACATCGACTCCCCCCAGTTCGCCGACGTGGCGGAAGACAGGGACTTGAAGCACTTGTCCTCGTCGCCATTGGAGGTGACGGAGCTTGAGTAGCTCCCGAAACAATGGCGGAGGTCGAAGATTGCTTGGCTTTGTAAAGAGCTGCCTTCGCATTAGCCGGCGACGATGGTAAGGATCCTTGGTTCTCAGAGGAAGTGGGTTTGGCACTTGGCAGGAGGATGTGGGTTATGTTGTTCTCCATTGCAAGCGAATTCGAGAGAATGATGCGAGCTATCGGGTTAGTTTAACTCTTTGCCCACCACCTGTTCATTGAATTTACGCTTAGTATTCTCTCTTGTCAATATTTGATTTTGATGATTTTTGGTTACTCAAATTCTAATTTTCTGCTTGTGTGCTTTTGTTGGAAAAAACCTTGATATTTAAACCGTGCAGGAAAATGAAGAGCAAGGATGACTATGGCTAGATTTAAGTTGTGCCCTGTAAAGACTTATGTGAATGCTGATTTAAATCTCTATTGAAATCGTATTGCGACAGATACAAGGTCAAGGAGGAAGCATGAGCTCTCTATTTCGAATGGGAGGATAAGATTCTTGTAGTGGCTTCAGCATGGAAATAACAACAATATTATTTTGTTTACTCTGTTGTTTATGAGTACAAGATCATAACATAGAACTCAATAATATTACAGTAATGTTTTTGGAAAAAAATACAGCTTGTAGAGTTTTTGGGACTAAATATGGCATGTGTTCTCTGTCCTGACTAATAAATCTCTATAAATACTTAAAGTTCTTTTAAAGGTGTGATCTTTTGTGTTACTTGTATTAATATGATGAAACTTGTAAGACTATTTTATCTGATGTATGTCATGTGAACTTTTGTAATCAGCATCGTTTGATGTAGGTTTATGAAGTGGAGGTGTGGGATTAAAAAGTTGCTAGATTCGACAGATTTTTGTTGTTTAGTGAAATTGCACTGCTAAAGTCTTCACATGTTAAATATCTGGGCAACAGTCTTTGTTTGAGAAAACTTATGATTGGAATACCATTATAATGTGTCTCCCTAAAGAAAAAAGGTGTAGACTTTCCAGAGACCTCTCGTCGAGGAGGATAATTGATCAAACAACACATAATATAGGTCATCGAGTATTTGCATTGCTCCGAAAAAATGGATTTGGTTTACCCACTAAGTGGCAGAATTTTCAGAGACCATAAGGTGCTATACTTTATCAATAAGGTTCTATATCATTGTCATAAAATGTTATACTTAGCCATAAGATGCTATACTTTATTAATAAGGTGCTATACTTTCTCATAAAGTGCTATACTTTTCCAAAAGATGGAAAATTGGGCTAGGACCTCTCATCAATGTGGATAATTGATCAAGCAACACATTTTACACGTTATCGAGTGTTTACATTACTTCGAAAAAAATGATTTGGTTTACCCACTAAGTGGCAGAATTTTCAGAGACCATAAGGTGCTATACTTTATCAACATAAGGTGCTATACTACTGTTATAAAGTGTTATATTTTGCCTTAAGGTGCTATATTTTATCAATAAGCTTCTACACATTCCCATAAATTGCTATACTTTTCCAAAAGCTGGAAAATTGAGTGAGGACCTCTCGTCGAGGTGGACAATTGATCAAGCAACACATAATATAGTTCATCGAGTGTTTGCATTACTCCGAAAAAACTAATTTGGTTTATCCCACTAAGTTGCAAAATTTTCAGAGACCATAAAGTGTTATACCTTATCAATAAGGTGCTATACTATTGTCATAAAGTGATATACTTTGCAATAAAATGCTATACTTTATCAATAAGTTGTTATATTTTCCCGTAAAGTGCTATACTTTTCCAAAAGCTAGAAAATTAAGCGAGGACCTCTCGTCAATGTAGATAATTGATCAAACAACACATAATATATGTCATCGAGTGTTTGCATTGCTCCAAAAAAAACTGATTTGGTTTACGCAATAAAGTGGCAGAATTTTCAGAGACCATAATATGCTATACTTTATCAATAAAGTGTTATATTATTGCTATAAAGTGTTATACTTTGGCATAAGGTGCTATACTTTATCAATAAGCTGTTATACTTTCCCGTAAAGTGCTATACTTTTCCAAAAGCTAGAAAATTAAGCGAGGACCTCTCGTCAAGGTGGATAATTGATCAAGCGACACATAATATAGGTCATCGAGTGTTTGCATTGCTCTGAAAAAAAAACTAATTTGGTTTATCCTACTAAGTTGCAAAATTTTTAGAGACCATAAAGTGCTATACTTTATCAATAATGTGTTATACTATTGCTATAAAGTGCTATACTTTGCTATAAGGTGCTATGCTTTATCAATAAGCTGATATACTTTCTCGTAATGTGCTATACTTTTCCAAAAACTAGAAAATTGAGCGAGGACCTCTCATCGAGATGGATAATTGATCAAGCAACACATAATATAAGTCATCGAGTGTTTGCATTGCTCCGAAAAAAACTAATTTGATTTACCCACTAAGTGACAGAATTTCCAGAGACTATAAGGGGCTATACTTTATCAATAAGGTGCTATACTATTACCATAACGTGTTATACTTTGCCATAAGGTGCTATATTTTATTAATAAGCTGCTATACTTTCCCACAAAGTGCTATACTTTTTCAAAAGCTAGAAAATTGAGCGAGGACCTCTCGTCGAGGTGGATAATTGATCAAGCAACACTTAATATAGGTCATCGAGTGTTTGCATTGCTTCGAAAAAAAAATGATTTGGTTTATCCCACTAAGTTTCAGAATTTCTAGAGACCATAAAGTGTTATACTTTATCAATAAGGTATTATACTATTGCCATAAAATACTATATTTTGCTATAAGGTGCTATACTTTATCAATAAGCTGTTGCACTTTCCTGTAAAGTGCTATACTTTTTCAAAAGCTGTAAAATTGAGCGAGGACCTCTCATCGAGGTGGATAATTGATCAAACAACACATAATGTAGGTCATTGAGTATTTGCATTGCTCCGAAAAACAGATTTGGTTTATCCCACTAAGTTGCATAATTTCCAGAGACCATAAAATGCTATACTTTATTAATAAAGTGCTATACTACTGCTATAAAGTGTTATACTTTGTCATAAGGTGCTATACTTTATCAATAAGCTACTATACTTCCCCATAAAGTGTTATACTTTTCGAAAAGCTAAAAAATTGAGCAAGGAACTCTCATCGAGATGGATAATTGATCAAGCAACACATAATATAGGTCATCGAGTGTTTGCATTGCTCCGTAAAAAACTAATTTGGTTTACCCACTAAGTGATAGAATTCCTAGAGACCATAATGGGCTATACTTTATCAATAAGGTGCTATACTATTGACATAACGTGTTATACTTTGTCATAAGGTGCTATATTTTATTAATAAGCTGCTATACTTTCCCACAAAGTGCTATACTTTTTAAAAAGCTGGAAAATTGAGCGAGGACCTCTCGTCGAGGTGGATAATTGATCAAGCAACACTTAATATAGGTCATCGAGGGAAAATTGAGCGAGGACCTCTCGTCGAGGTGGATAATTGATCAAGCAACACTTAATATAGGTCATCGAGTGTTTGCATTGCTTCGAAAAAAAAATGATTTGGTTTATCCCACTAAGTTTCAGAATTTCTAGAGACCATAAAGTGTTATACTTTATCAATAAGGTATTATACTATTGCCATAAAATACTATATTTTGCTATAAGGTGCTATACTTTATCAATAAGCTGTTGCACTTTCCTGTAAAGTGCTATACTTTTTCAAAAGCTGTAAAATTGAGCGAGGACCTCTCATCGAGGTGGATAATTGATCAAGCAACACATAATATAGGTCATCGAGTATTTGCATTGCTCCGAAAAATAGATTTGGTTTATCCCACTAAGTTGCATAATTTCCAGAGACCATAAAATGCTATACTTTATTAATAAAGTGCTATACTACTGCTATAAAGTGTTATACTTTGTCATAAGGTGCTATACTTTATCAATAAGCTACTATACTTCCCCATAAAGTGTTATACTTTTCGAAAAGCTAAAAAATTGAGCAAGGAACTCTCATCGAGATGGATAATTGATCAAGCAACACATAATATAGGTCATCGAGTGTTTGCA